TTTTTATTGTGTGTAAAATTTTTGTTTTTAAATGAAATGAAAAAATGAATTAAACTAAACTAAACTAAACTAAACTAAACTAAACTAAACTAAACATTTCTGCCACTCTGACACAAGTCTTTCATTAAGAATCCAACAGCTTCTTACACCCTGATGTATCACTGCAGTGAGAGGAGCAGAAGCAGAGGCCCTCACCTGATCCTGGTCTGAAGCCCGGCTGCTCGGCTCCACAGAGGCCCCCCAGCCCCTGCGGCTGGGCGGGGGGCTGAGCTTGGAAGGCGAAGCCAGCGGAAGGGTACGGCGGTGTGGAGGGGGTGGAAGGAGGGGTGCACAGGGAGGTGGTGCTTCTTCGCCAGTCTCGGATGCTGGAGAACGTGTGGGAGTGCGGGAGGCGGGTGAGGCGCGGCTGCGGCGGCGGCAGCAGCCCGTAGTCTTCGTCGTCCTCCTCGTCTTCCTCCTCCAGGCCGGGGCCGGCGCTGAGCTGGAAGGTGAAGCTCTGGCTGCGGCGGTTGGCCAGGACAGTTGACGTGGTGGCGTAGTCCTGCCTTAGACCTGGAGGAGCGAGAGGTGAAAGGATCGGCAGGGGAGGGGAAACAAAAACCAGCTCTCACACAAACACACAGTTATCACCTCCGAAGATTAATGAAGCTGAAGTAGCGGTGGGCTCTGAGGTCTGGAGCCGTTAGTTAACGTATTAGCAGGGAAACAACAGAAACGTAGAGTAAAAGATGTGAGCTGACAACCAAACGAGTCTCTCGAGGCAGAGGTATCATCCAGCACAGTGACTTACTCTCCTCCTGAAGCCGGGCCATGACCTGAACGTCTGTCAGGTCCTGAAGCTTGTAGCCGAGGTTGATGGAGTCGTCCTCCGCCTCTGACGTGCCGAGGTCACTGTCCACCGAGGACTGTGGGCTGAGGGGGGAGTGGCGGAGGCTGCGGCCTTCAAATCAAATTCAAACCAGTCAGTGACGTAARCATATTAAAAACATCAATGCAAAAACAGTCTCTTCATTGTTGAGGACAGACTGAAGGCTGCACGCAGTGGTGATCGTCCAGCGACACTGTTCTGACGTTTTCAGCTATTTTTAATGGAGCTGTGTTGTTGTCTCAGTTCTACCTGTGTTTGCTTAAGAATCTTCCAGTTTACTGTGAATTTTGTGGCTTATCCAGAGAAATACTGGAACCGTTTCTCCACAACAACAAAAATCCAGTCAAAACGAACAATAAAACATTTACAAACCGTCCCAAAATACATGAGAAACACCAGGGCTAAATCTCATCTATTTGTAACTGGTTTGCTCTATAATTTTTTATTTATTACAAAACAGGATGGAAGTGAGGCTCTTACCCTTTTTATAAACATTGTATACATTACAGCTTCGAAATGAGCCAAGATCATTGACAAACACTATGTGTGTAATGATGAAACTTAAGCACTAAAACCAGCAGATTAATGAACACACTCAGCAGTCAAAGTTCTGCAACGGCTGATCAGTCAGCTGCATTTTTAAAGGGGGGGGGGGGTATTATGCAAAATCAACTTCTTTAAGCTTTATATCTTGTTTTAATGTCATCCCCCTCATCAAAAACATACCCTGAGTGTTGCTTTGACTCATTCATGCATGTTTGAGACACCCTTAAATCTCCTGTGGTAGCCATGTGGAGCCGTCTAAACACTTGCTGGTAAAAAGCCCCGCCTATTAACCCAAAGCTCCTCCCTGGAGCTCAGTCTGCAGCTGACCTTCTGTCTCACAGAGCACCCCTCCCCTGAAGCATTGTTTGAAAATGCAGTGAAATGGAAGTATCTGAAATGGTAGGAGGTTCTTAAAGAGACAGAGGCTAATTTCAAGACATTTAGATGCTAAATCATATGTATTATTTGATATATACAGCTTTTTTTTTTAATAACTGAAGGTAACAGTTACTTGATTGTTGTATAGAATTGAACTATGTGCCTGGAAAATACACAATACCCCCTTTAAATAAAACTAGGGTAAAAATTGAAAAAAAGGAAGCTAACAGATACATTTCTTTATGATGGAAACATCATGTTTGGTACTTAAAGTTTTTTTTTTAAATAAATTAGATGATTGTTTTAAATTCAGACTATGTTAAAGGGCCAATATTATGTGTTTCTCAGGCATATATTTAAATACTATACCATATTAAAGTATCTATGTCACCTTTAGTTGTTATTAAAATGCTGTTTTCATGTTTAAATAGAAAATAAACTTATCTTCTCATCACTTCCTCTTCTAAACGCCTTGAAATTGGCCTCTGTCTCTTTAAGAACCACCTTCTGCTTCCGTTTTCCCATTTCGGTGCACGCGTGGGGGTGGGGGGCTGCTGGCATGATGTAGTTTACTTGGCATCTGAAAATATATTTCCTCAAAGGTATTTTTAATCTGAATTTTGAGAGCTCAGCAGACAGTTAGGTTTCACTTTCACTTTCACCAGAGAGCCTGCAGGAGTCATGGGCGGGGTGTACAGGGAAGGGGGGAGGTGTGCTCTGCCATGAGGAGGTTCGGCTTAAAGACACGTCCCAGGGGTGTTTCTGGTCCCAAAAGGYGTTTCTGGTCCCCACCTGTCATTTTGCTCCTCAGCATGGCTTCCTAAAAACACTGCAGGATTTCTCAAACATGCATGAATGAGTCAGAGCAAGGCTTTGGGCATGTTTTTTTTTATGAAAGTATAACATTACATGATATAAAACTCAAAAAAAGTTGATTGTACATGATATTGCCCCTTTAAAGACTTTCCTTTAACTTGYAGCTGAGGCTGATCATGTTAGCAGATTTGAATATCAAACGGACCGCATTGAAAGTGTTGACTGTGTTTCCTGACACAGTCAACACGGAGCAGACCCTGCCGGGTGGAAAACCCCTTCCAGACAACGCTTGAGGCTGCTGACTTCTGCTGCTCCATGTTGTGTTTTCCTCTCCTTCATCCCCTGCAGCTTTGGACCCCACTGCTTTCTGCGACATGACTTTTCCATCACTAATAATGCACTCAAATCTGTCATACTCCTCTTTTTTTCCCCCCAATACAGTTTAAATTTAGCTGCAAATAATGAGAAGACCCTGCATCTTGTATGAAAGCGTGCAACAAGCCTGCCTTTGACCCAGTTTCTGGCACACAAACAGTCTGATAAGAAGAGTCTTACTTTGAGTGGCCAGGTGAGGGAGGAACGTGGGAGTCCTCTCAGCTACGGGGGAGAGCTCCTTCCCCACGGGGCTCAGAGTGTGATACAGGGGGGAGGAGAGGGACGGAGCTGCTGCGAGGAGAACAAAAACACGAGGTTCAGGTAAAACACTACACTTTTAGTGTCCTGATGCTTCTCAGTGAACCAGGTAGAAAAAATCAAAAAGAAAAAACAAGTAGGTCCGCTGGATGGGTTCTTCTTTAGTGAAACGTTTCGTCTCTCCTCCAAGAGACTTCTTCAGTCTGAAGAGTTTCAGGTGAACTCAGCCTTATAAGCACTGCCTCCACATGGACAAACAGGTTAGTCACATGCAAAAGAGGACCATCGCTTAATAATAGGATTGATTAACTCTATTGTTCATAGAGGGTCATGTGCCCCATCACCTGACTTATTGGTTTGGATGCTGTGSTTCTTAGTTGTCGTGTTATCTGTATGTAGTGAATGCAGGCGGGGCTCGACGTCCCCTTGATTTTTGTCTTTTTTTCCCTCGGTGTTGGTTGCAAAAGGTGTGAATCAGGACCCCAACGATAACCAACACAAAGAGGGAAAAATACAAAAATCAGGGGACGTCGAGCCCCGCCTGCACTCACTACATACACATGACACAACAACTAAGAAGCACAGCATCCAAACCAATAAGTCAGGTGATGGGGCACATGACCCTCTATGAACAATGGGCCTCATGCAAGAACATGTTCGTATTTTTATCCTAAATTTTTCTTACTTTTGTTCGCACAAAGGGTTCGTACGAACATGTCACGTCAGATTCAAACTCTTCTACCTTCAGGAAACGTGCGTAAATGAGCTGCGTAATTTACACCTGTTCGTATCCAGCTGCTCGTGCACGGGAGAGGAGATTATCATAATTACCACCCCAAAAACACCATATAAGGCTGTGTGTCCTGCCTAACATACAAGGAAGTGTCCATTCATTCATGAGAAATGACAGCGATAATTATAAAAAAGGAGAACTTTACGAGTTCAGAGATTGAAGTCCGTCTGTCAGAGATCCAGAAAAGAAAATGTCATTAGCAGGTCAGCTGTGGGATAAAAAAAGAGCTGCTAAAAGTATAAACAACTGTGTTAAATCATTTTCATTC